GGTGCGGTCCACTGCGCCGCGGTAATTCTCACCGTTGCACGAAACGCAAGTGGCTGGAGACATAAGGCAGTGGGTTTATGAACGGGTGTGGGGCTGGTCCTCCCGCCCAGGCTCCACCCGGAGACGCCTACCCTCGCGGCAGGACTTGATGCCGCAGCTCTGAAAGCGCACAGCGGGGTCTGTCGTGTAGCACCAGGGGCCTCTGGGGTCGCCGTCGGGGTTGCGGCAGAAATTCTCCTCCAAGCCATTCTTGGGTGTGGGCATGTACCTGGGCGCGGAGAGCTGCAATACAGTGCGTGCGGGGGGCGGGGGACCGGTGCCCACCCGCAGGGACAGAGCGGAGGGGTCTGGCTCACTTGTGGTCATTGGGGTGCCTGTGGCTCCAGCGCTGGCAGGTTAGGCCACTCCTGGTGGTGGCCTTGGTGCCCCGGTACTTGATCCCATTGTCCATGATACAGTCCCGCACATAGTCTGGGAGTGACAGACCCACGTCAACAAGGCCTGAGGCCCAGCACCCCTGTCCCAGGCCACCCTTCTCAGCCACGCACCTTTCTTCTGGTAAAGGTCACAGCGCCCTGAACGCTGCAGCCGCGTGTTGGGCGAGTCCTGGGTCCACGGCAACAGCTGGCAGCCGTGGCTGCTCATGTTGTAGTGGAAGGCCCTGGAAGGAGGCACAGGGTCACGGGGGCCCCCTTCTGCTGCCTCAGTCTTCTCTAGGCCGCGTTGCCACCCACCTGCAGTCCAGCAGGCGCTCACAGCGCCCTGCACACTCCTCGGCACCCGCCACGTCCTCTTGCCACGGCCCGGGCCCCGCCGCGTGCAGCAGGTACTGCAGCTCTGTGCCCCGGAGCGCCTGGAAGTCGTTTAAAGGTGAGCGCTGCCCTGCAGGGTGGGGTGCATGTCAGTCATGCATATCAACACACTTAGGCTGTGTTCATTCAGGGAATCAGGGCTACAAAGTTCACCCTGGCCAACACGCTCAGTGGTTAGAGCGTCCGCCTGCGCACGAAAGGGTTGCGGGTTCAATTCCCGGTCAAGGGCACATACATGAGTTTTGGGTTCGGTCCCCACCCCCTGGTCAGGGCTCCTGCAGGAAGCAACCAGTGATGTGTCTCTCTCACACCGATGCTTCTCTCTCTCCCGCTCCTCCTCCCTTCCACGCTCTCTGAAAAGCAATGGAAAAAATATCCTCTGATGAGGGTTAACAACAACAAAAGCTCCAGGTTGCAGGCTCCAGGCCGGACTCTGTGGACACATTCAAGGGTCAGACTCCTGTTCAGGGCGGGAGAAGCAGGCCCCAGACATGGGAGTTATCACTGTTGTGTGGGCAAGGCACCAGGCCCAGACCTGAGCCATGCATTCCAGGAGAGCCGTGGGGAGGGCGTTTGCCCGACGGAACTTGTTTCACCTCATCTCTCAGCTGAGGGTGCCAGGCCCAGAGCCGTCACACTGGCCAGGCAGAGGCGCAACCACACTAGCTGGGCATTCGGACTCCAAGGCTGGTCTCGCACCAGCGCGAGGGCATGTGCTAGGGTAGGCCAGGCTGGGGAGGGATGACTGCCCGCATGCGGGCATCTGCACAGTCCCAGCACCGCCTCGATGCCCAGCAGACGTCTGCCGGCTAGACTAGGCAGTCTGTACCCGTATTCCCGGGGCTACCCCGCTCTTGCCAGAAGCCACAGTCGCCTGGTGCTCCGTGCCCACGGAAAGTGAGCTTCTAGCTGGAATAGCAGGACGGGCCTGAAGCTGACCTCGTCCCGAAGGCAGATGGGGATGGAGTGGGGGTGGGCACACTCACCAGGAGCCCATGGGCACTGCAGCAGAAGGAGCAGGAGTGGCAGCCACCCCATCCTCCCAGCTGGAGGCTGCACTGTGACCCAGCGCAGCCCCGTCCGGGAAATTGTGAAACCTGTCCTTCCAGGATTGGGCGCCTCTGGCTCCACACCCCTAGTCCAGGCCTGCCGGAGCCTGACCTGAGACCCAGTCACCGGGGGAGGGGTGGGGCCAGGCCCCCTGGGCGAGGGGCAAGCCCTCACTCTGCACAGCTGGCCCCTAGGAGGCTATGCAGTGGGCAGGTGTTGGGGACTCTTGAGGTGCCTGGGGTGGGGGCGCCCAGGCTGCTCTGAAGGGAAGCGGGCGCCAGAGACCTGGGCTGCAGCCCCCAGGCAGTGGTCTGGCACCTTCCTGAGCCCGTGTCCCCTGGAAAGTGGGGAATGTTCCCTGCCCAGCCCCAAAGCCGCCGCCCCTTGGGCTGGCTTATCGGCCGCAGCTGTAGCAGATGGGCCCACACCCGGGCCCATCCCAGGCAGAGGGAGCGAGGCCACTCGTCCGTCCGCAGAAGGGAGGTGGGGTAACAGGTAGCGGGGAGCTGGCGGGAGCCCGGGGGGCGCGGGGGGCGCCGTGGGGGCATCAGGGCAGGACCCTCGTGCGGGGAGGCGCTGGGAGGGCGGCCTGGGCGGCGGGCGCTGTGTCG